CTCTGGTCAAATTAAAGAATAAGAAGAAGAAGAAGAAATAAAATTAAATAAATAATTTAAACTGCAGTACTCTTCCCCATCAGGAGTGCGGCTGTGAAATTCCTCTTCTTTCAGGAAGCGCCTGCACAGACTATCCCGCACACAAATCACTTGCCCTTCACTTGTTTATATAACGATTTTTGCCTCTTATCTCTCCCTTTCTTTTCTCTTTTAAGAATTATTCTACTGAGACCACCAGATGGCATAACGATTACATTGCCGGACTTCCACATGGTTGACTGTGGTTCCAGTCCCAGATCTGGAGGCTTTAAACTCATGCCCAGTGCATGTGCATGCGTGCCCAAGATCCCGGGAGGAGAATGGAGGAGAAGGGATTGTGGCATGGCCATCCCCCCAAGGGGTGGTTTCTCGCTTTCTATCTCTCTAGAGAGCACACATGCCTTATAGCAAAATCTCTCTCTAAGAAAAAGAATAATTTTATTGGAGCCAGCAAATGGTTACATCGCTGGACTCCTATATAGCCAACTGTGGCTCGAGTCCCAGACCTCATGCCCGGAGCATGTGTGTGCATGCCCAAAATCCTGAAAAGAGAGGGCAGAAGGGATTGTGGCATGGCCGTACCCCCCTTGGGTGTGATTTCTTGCTTTCTGTCTCTCTATTTCTCTGGCGAGCCCACACGCCCAAAAGCAAAAACCTCTCTAAAAAAAGAAAAAAATAATAAGCTAAGCAAAACTATATTGTACTGGCACTGGCAGGTGGTGTGGTGGTTAAGGACGCTGGACTCCCACATGGCTAAGTGCCATATGAATCCCAGAGCTGGCCTCTTGCTTTCTTACTTTCCTTCTCTCTCTCTCCCTCTCTCTCTCTCTCTCACACTCTGGTCAAATTAAAAACTAACTAACTAACTAAATAAAGTTAAATAAAATAATTTTTAAAAATCCTAAATTGTATTATTTGGAATGGACACACAGGTGGGAAAAGTACAAAGAAAAGCAAGGAAGTGATTACCACCAAAGACCAGAGAGTGGTTCTTCCATTCAATACGTATTTCCTGAGTACCTTCAATGTGCCAGGAATTATTCCAAGCACTGGAGAAACAAACGAATGTAATAAGTAAAGATGCTCACCTTTGGGGTCAGCTGGTGGTGTGGTGGTTAAGGCAGCTGGATGCCACAGGACTGACTGCACAGTTTGAATCCTGGACCTGGTGGCTTGAAAACCACGTGGGGTGCGTGTGCCCAAAATCTCAAGAGAGACTGGCGGAGAAGGAATTGCAACAGGGCAATCCCCTCTTGGGGGTGATTTCTCACTTTCTCTCTCTCCCTCTCTCTCTCTCTTTATCTCTCTCATTCCTCTCTGGCAAATGCATACACCCTACTGCAAAAACTAAAAAAAGAAAAAAACAGAACAGAGTAAGAGAAGCAGGAATTTCCAAAGCAGAAGTGGAGAGCTAGTAGTTTGCATGGGTAGCGCTCCCTGCAAAGGAGAAATTTGAGCAAATACATGAAGGAGGGGAGAGAGCCAGCTGAGTGGCTGAGGGCAGCATTCCAGGCAGAGGGAACAGGCAGAGCAAAAGTCCTAAGGAAGAAAAAGTCTGATGTTTTCCTGTTCAAGGAGCAGTAATGAGTCCAGGGGGCTGGAGCACAGGGATTATGGGGAGAGGAGCTTTCATTCTAAGCGAAGAGAGGAATCACTGCAGAGTTTACAACAGAGCAGTAACATGATCTGATTTGCATATTTTTAAAAGATATTCTTTTGAAGGGCCAACTGGTAGTATGGTGGTTAAGGGAACTGGACTCCCACATAGCAACTGCAGTTCAAGTCCCAGACCTGGCAGCTTGCTTTCTCACTTTCTTTCTCTCTCTCTCTTTGTCCCTTTCTTGTCGAACTAAAATAAATAAAGTTAAATAAAATAATTCATTAGAAAAAGAATTTTTTTAAAGTTGACCAGAGAGGGGCAGAATGAGAGAGAAAGAGAGAAAGTGAGAAAGCAAAGCCACCAGATCTGGGACTCAAGCCATGGTTAGCCATGTGGGTGTCCAGCGCCCTTACCACCATGCCACTTGCTGGCCCCCTCCTCTGATTTTCATTTTCATTTTTTTAAAAGAATTATTTTATTTAACTTTATTTATTTACTTATTTAATTTTGACTAGAGAGGTACATGGCGAGAGAGAGAGAGAGAAAGTAAGACAGCAAGCCACCAGGCCTGAAACTTGAACTGTGGTCAGCCATGTGGGAGTCCAGTGCCCTTAACCACCATGCCACTTGCCGGCCCCTATTTACTTTTCTTTTTTTGGAGAGATTTTCGCTATAGGATGTGTGCGCTTGCCAGACAGACAGAGAGAGACATAGAGACAGAAAGCGAGAAATCACCCCCCAGGGGGGATGGTCACGCCGCAATCCCTTCTCCATTCTTCTCTCGGGATCTTGGGCACGCACGCACACGCGCCTGGCGTGAATTTTAAGCCACCGGGTCTGGGATGCGAACCGCGATCAACTACGTGGGAATCCAGTGACATAGCCATTATGCTAACTGCTGGCTCCCACCTATTTACTTATTTTTAATTTGACCAGAGAGGGGCAGAATGAGAGAGAGAGAGAAAGTGAAAAAGCAAGCCACCAGGTCCACTAGGTCCAGGACTCAAACCACAGTCAGCCATGTGGGAGTCCAGTGTCTTTAACCACCACAGGGCCTGTCAACCCCCTCTCCTGATGTGCATTTTCAAAGAATCTTTTGAGTGCTGTGTTAGGAAGAAGGGCGAAAAGGTGAACCAAGGGGACTCAGAAAGATACTGCAGAGGCCAGCAGGTGGTTACAGTGCACAGGACTCCCACGTGGCCAACCTGGCAGCTTGCTTTCTCACTTTCTCTCTCTCTCTGTCAAGCTAAAATAATAATAATAGGGACCAGCAGATGATGTAATGGTTACATCACTGGATTCCCATGTGTTTCAAGTCCCAGACCTGGAGGTTTAAAACTCACACTGGGTACATGTGCATGCATGCTCAAAATCCCAAGAGGAAAATGGAGGAGAAGGGGTTGTGGCATGGCCGTCCCCTTGGGGGTGATTTCTCGCTTTCTGACTCTGTTTCTTTCTGTCTCTCCATCAAGCGCACGTATCCTATAGCAAAAATCTCTCTTAAAAATAAAATAATAATAATAAATAAAGTTAAATAAATAATTCTTTTTTTTTTTTTTAGAAGTTTTTTGCTATAGGGCGCTTGGGCTCACCAGGACAGAGAGAGACAGAAAGAAAGCAAGAAAATCATCCCCCAGGGGGGATAGCCACACCACAATGCCTTCTCCTCTATTCTCCTCTCAGGATCTTAGGCACGCAATGAACCGCGGTCAACTACATGGGAGTCCAGCGACATAGCCATTACACCAACTGCTAGTCCTGAGTCAGAAGGAGAGAGAGAGTTAATAGAGCTGCACAGACATTGAGGAAACCCAGAAATACCTCGTCCACTTTTCTTTGGTGGTGGTAGTAGTAGAGGTATGAGGAAGGACATCAGGATAGGCCTTGGTCTAGGGTGCTACTAGCAGCTGCTCCATCAACGTGTTAAATTAAACGTTAAACCCAACGGTATTTTTCCATATAGTTTCATGCAAATCCTCACATCCCTGAAGTTCTATTATTTTATTTATTTATTTCTTGGATAGGTTTTTGCTATAGGGCGTGTGCGCTCGCCAGACAGAGACAGACAGAGACAGAAATTAAGAAATCCTCCCCCCCAGGGGGGATGGTCAAGCCGCAATCCCTTCTCCATTCTCCTCTCGGAGATCTTGGGCACGCACGCACACGCGCTCGGTGTGAGTTTTAAGCCACCGGGTCCAGGACACGAACCGCAGTCAACTGCGTGGGAGTCCAGCGACATAGCCATTACGCTAACTGCTGGTCCCAAGTTCTATTATTTTTATGTCCATGTGGCAGGTGGAAACACTCAAGGCTCAGCGTCCTTACATGCCTCGCTCGGGATCACGCAGTTAGGAAGTGACAAGTGTGAAGACGGCCCAAGTACTCTGAATCTAAGCCCAGTGATCTCTCTCCCTAACGGCGCCACGCGGGGTACATAACCTTGCCACGTCGGCCTTATCCCTATTTGGAATTTTGCCTGCACCCCTCTTTCTGTTTTCTTGGCGGCATTGCACAGGCGCCCTTCCAGTGGCAACTCCAGGAAAAACAGATGGTGCATGTAACAGCAAACACTGGGAGGAAACGCGACCGCTAGACAGCCGCCAGCCACGCGTTCATCACGCCCCAACCCAGTGCGCCGCTGCACCAGCGCATGCGCAAACTCCCGGGACCAGACATCCCTCGAGACGGCAGCGGGACCGGAAGTTATTCTACGTCTCCCGGTTGCTAAGAGACAGGCAACCACAAGGCAGAAGGAGGCGGTCCGGCATTTTTTCCTCCCTTTCACCGCCTGAGCGTCTCCAGATCTGGTCACCATGTCGGACCCCGAAGTCGATACCTTGCGAAGTACCTTTCCCTCTTACATGGCAGAGGGCGAGCGGCTCTATCTGTGCGGGGAGTTCTCTAAAGCAGCCCAGAGCTTCAGCAACGTGAGTCGCATCCATCCATCACCGGTCACCACTTTCCGTGACTGGTGACACTGAGCTCTGATGATGCCTGGAGAACCCTATGGTTTGCCTTACTCACTGACTCCTGATCGATAGCACGTTGTCACCAATAAGCCTTGCGCTTGGTCACTTTCTACCAATTCCTACTTGGGTTCTCGTCCTCTACATTATCAGTAATTTCTTCCTCTACTTTTTTTGTGTGTGTGTAATGTTTTTGTCATAAGGCGTGTGACTCGCCGCAGTGAGAGGGAACGTGAGAAATCACTCCCAGAGGGGGATGGCCATGCTGCAGAACCTTCTCCTCCATTCTCCTTTGGGGATTTTGGGCACGCATGCACATGTGCCCAGTGTGATTGTCAAGCCACCAGGTCCAGGACTCAAACCACTGTCAGTGGGACCAGCAGTTAGCATAATGGGTATGTCACTGGACTCCCATGTGGTCGACCGCGGTTTGAGTCCCGGACCCAGTGGCTTAAACTCACACCCAGCGCGTGTGCGTGCGTGCCCAAGATCCCGAGAGGAGAATGGAGGAGAAGG